GTAAAAATGAGAATCGATTAATATCGAGATGTTTTTTACCCAGCCCTATTAATTCCGCTCTACCAGACGCCTCTGATGATGGTTACACCTGGCAGTGTGTATTATCTGGACGAGACACAAGCGTCTCCCTCTTCCTGGACACACACTGTCCTTTACGTTTGTTAAGAACGGCTGCTGATTTCCGCTCCAGCACGGCGAGATCCACGTGAAGGGCCTCGGCCATCTCTGCCTTCGTCACGGACACGAAACGCCAGTCGCTGGCAAGACTCTCCAAACCTCCGGCGGTCAGAGCCTCCTGGATGAGGAACTCCGCTGCACTCACTGGACCGTGCTGTCTGGATGCACTGATGCATGATGGGAAACGGAGCTCACGTCTGCTGGAAGATGAGAGGATATGCATAATCATCACTTTCCACCGTCCAGACTATTTCTTCTGGATAGCATCACGTCCCACCCTACATTTTTTTTCCCCCTTTTAATATCCAGTTGAAAAACGACTGATTACAGACATAAAATGCGTTACGAATGCAATTTTTTTTGTTGATTTTAAAGCTGCGGAGAGCAGTTTTGATTGATTGTAGTATTTAATGATGTTATTTTTTACATTATTTTTCATTTAAAACCTTTATCTTCTTAATACGCATTTGTTTTTGACTTCTTCATGATTGCAAAGAATCAAATTCTTTCAGCAAACGTAATAACTAGTTAAGGCGTTATTTTTTTGTTGTTTCTCATTTAAATAAAAAAAATGGTGCCTATTCACCTTCTTAATATACATTTATCTTTGTCATAATTGCAAAGAAACAACATCTTTTATTAAGTGTAAAAACGTGCTAAAATGTAATTTCGTTAAAGTCACGTTACGATAAAATCAGCCTGAAATCAAAATAAACCCTATTTACCTTCTAAACATATTTATCTTAATCTTCCTCATGATTACAAAGAAAAAATTTTCTTTCGTTAAATGTAATAACTTGCAAAAGTGATATTTTTGTTTTTTAATTTATAATCAACCTTATTCATGCAATTAAAATAATAATTCTTAATACACCGTTATCTTCGTCGTCATCACTGCAAACAAATAAATTCTTGCTAAAGCATTATTTTGTTATTTTTAATTACAAGAAAGAGAAACTAATTTGTTTATAAAATGTAAACTTTTGCTAAGTCTATTATTTTTACATTATTTCTCATTTACTCCGTTTACCATTAAAATACCTTTCAAATGTATCGGTCATCTTCATAATTGCAAATAAACAAATTATTTAATCACATATAAGAGTTTTAATCAAATATAAGAGAAAAAAATTGTTTCATTAAATATAATAACTTGCAAACGTGATTTTTTTATTGTTGTTTTTAATTTATAATCAACCTCAAATCTAAATAAAATAAAAAATTAAGAAGGTTAAATGGGGTTATTTACCTTCTTAATACACATTTATCTCTACAACAAAGTTTATTTATCAAGTGTGATAATTTGCCAAAGCATTATTTTTATTACTTAAAATGTATCCTATTTACCTTCTTAAAAAATGCTTTTCTTTTTGTTAATCATCATCATAATTGCAAAAAAGTTCTTCCGTCAAATGTAACATCAAGTGTTATTTTTATGTTATTGTTTTTTCTTCGCTCTCACCTCTGTCTGGCTGTGTTATTGTTGGTGTTGGTGTTGGCGTGGTAATGAACATATGCAGCCGAGGCCTCCGTCTCCTCCGCTCTGCTGTCCGCGATCTGTAGGGGGCGCTGGCTGGTCCCTTGGGTGGCCATCGGGGTTCCTCTCTCCATCGTGAACCGATCCACATGGTTTCCAAACAGGCCACCTGCTCGCTTTTGAACAGAAGAAGAGAGAGGTGAGATACAGCTGTACAGCACGTATTAAAGGGGTCATATGATGCGATTTCAAGTTTTCCTTTCTCTTTGGAGTGTTACAAGCTCTTGGTGCATAAAGAAGATCTGTAAAGTTGCAAAGACTAAAGTCTCAAATCCAAAGAGATATTCTTTATAAAAGTTAAGAGTCAGCCACACCTACCTAAAACGCCTCGTTCTAACACGCCCCCACATGTCTACATCACTATGTGGGAAGATTTGCATAACGCCGCCCAAATGTTCACGCAAAGAAAGAAGGCGTAACTTTTATTCTCGCTGTTGCCGCCATGTCGTGGAGACGCTGTGTGTTTTGTTGCGAAAGCGAAACTACTTTGTTTGGTCTTCCAAAAGAGGACACGACTAGAAATCAGTGGTTAAGTTGTATTTACAACACTGTTCCAGAACAGTTCAAACCAAATATTCAGATGTGTGCAGCGCATTTTACGGAGGACTGTGTCCTGATCCTGGGAGAGTAGACTACAATGCTGGCTGTTCTGACTCACAGACTGTAAGTACATTTTTTATATTTAAAGGATTTGCCACTGACGATTCAAACGCCAGTTTTGAGCAGTGTAGAGTAGCGCTTGCTGTTCGTCATTTCTCCGATCACAAATGCAGACATGGTTTTATGTTTACGCGGCGCGATGCAATGCATAAAAAGACAGTATAAGTCATTATAATCCGTAATTATGTCCCCATGCATGCAACAAATGCCTAGTTTATAATGGGTTTTAATGTTTTTGTCTCGTCGCTCCGGCCGGACAGGGCATCATCACAGTATGGTGAGGGGCGTAACATTTCTGTCACACGCTTGAGGTATTCAGCCAATCACAACGCACTGGATAGCTGGCCAATCACAGCACACCTCGCTTTTCAGATCGATGAGCTTTGTAAAAATCGAGCGTTTCAGAAAGGCGGAGCATAGAGGAGAAACAATAATGTACAGTATGTGGAAAATAATGTGTTTTTTTTCAACTTTAAACCACATAAACACATTTCATTACACCAAATACACAAAATAATGTTCTTTTTAGCAGCATCATATGACCCCTTTAATCTTTCTCTACCTAATTTTATCATCTCTGATCTGTTTTATTCTCAACCCACCCGGTAGATCCCCTCCTCTCCGGCCTCGTCCATGGCTCGGTCCATCTCCTCGTCGTTCAGAAGATCTCCAGAAATGGCCCGCTGAAGCTCAGGCGCAGCCTCCTCCTCGATGCTCCTCAGACCCGCCTGAGAGAATGAGAGATTGAGACTAGGGCTGCACGATAAATCGCAATCTTGTCAGTGAAGCACGGTTCTGTGATCAGCAGTAAATCTCCATCCGAAGGCCAGAGAAACTCAGAAGAAACCCAGGAAATCCCTATAGCGCTCGCTGAATAAAAACGATTTAAATGCTTTCATTGATTCAGCGTGACTAATAAACACAGGACTACGACATTATATGGTTTATCTGAGTTCTTATTATTATAATTTTCACTGAGAAGCTACGCAAACAGCTTTCATAATCGTGAACGATTTCTTCGTTTTCATAATCATGCGATTATATTGTCTGTGATTTAAAAAAAAATATTTTTTTGCGTAGCTTGTCAGTGAACTACGGCTCTGTGTAGTAAATGCTGCTCCATCTGAAAGCACGTGATTGAGATTTACTACTAATCACAGAACCGGCTTTCGATTCGAAATCACATTCGATTAATCGCGCAGCGATTCTGATTGTCGCATGAAACGCATGCGGAGATGAAGAGACGTGTGACCTGAATCTCTGTGGTGTTCTTGTTTTTCTTGTTGGGCCGGTATCCGTAATATTCCTCCTGGCGCTTCATGAACTTCCTGAAGTGGTCCTGGATCAGGAACGTGGCGTAAAACTTCCCCACTGTTACCTCATCGTCTGTCATTTAGGAAACATTTAATAATGCTAATATTATTGCAGTTTATTATTCGGTATCGTCCGCTTTATTGGTGTTACCGCATTACCTCCGATTGGTGGAATGACCTGGTCAAGCAGTTTCATACTGGTGCGTTTCCAGATCTTCTTAATAATCGCACGTAGCTCTTCGTTGGCCTGCTCGAAATTACCTGACGGATGAAAATTCAGAGAATTTATGCTTTAATGGGTGAGTATGAACATCATTTTCATAAACGTATTTCAGATCTGCGCCAGCTTACAATTTTCACTCAGAAATTGCTAGTAAATTTCACAAATAATTACAAAAAAGTGCCAATCGAATTTAATTAAACATTAAATTTTGACGTAAATAACGCCTCAAACCTTCGGTTTTAATTTTCAGTGCAGTTCTGACCAGAGCGAACAGCGTGGCATTAAACGTCACGGTTCCATCGCTGTTCAGAGGCATGTTCATGGAAATCAGTCTCTGGAAACCAGCACGGTAACACCGAGAATGAATGATTATACTGGTATGTGCATATGAATGTGTTTGCGTGTTAAATGTGTCTCACTTTGCAGGCAACACGATGGGGGCAAAACTTTCCAAACCCAAGCGGTGGCTGGATTCTCCTCAGCAGCGTCACGACATCCAGGTGTTTAATGCGCCCCCTACAGAACAACATCAGAATAACACAGATAATCAGATGCATCTCGTTTAAAATCAACCTGCAATCAAAATGGACCATTTTTAAATTTTGAATACACATTCCTGGTCTTATAGTGAGATACCATCTTTGCACATAATTGTTAAATGCAATAATATTAGTTATCTTTATTGGATTACATTACCAATCCCTTTTATTTTTTAATCACTCTTATAAAGAGACACTTTTTTACTATTCAATCAATTCCTGATAGATATAAATCAAGTCCAAATTTAATATCCTGTTGAAAAGTGTCCAATTATGGATGTTATTTGGCTTACGTTGCCTCGGGGTCATATTCAGCCCAGATCTTCTTGAACTCGTCTAAATGATGCGGACCGAGTATCGACCAATCACGGGTCAGATAGTCAAAGTTGTCCATGATCACAGCAACAAACAAATTAATGATCTGCAAAAGACCACATATGGCACGTTGATCATATTTATGAGTTGAACGCATAAGAATGCCACCACAAAGTCATAATTTCAAGTGGAATTTTCTTCAAACCCAGAGTTTCTGAGTTGCATGTGAGCGAGATGTATGGTGGATACAATGGATACAGCATTTATATTGACAGTAAACTTGTAAGTTGCATGTACGAAATTCCATAATATTGTGCAAGCAAAAACACACCCAATGTGCATTCTTTATTCCTTATTTTGTACATGTAGAGTTCAAAAATCTTGTCAAATTTCATTGCTCCGACCAAAGTATGAATGCATCTGGCATCAAAATGATGTCTTCCCAACTGGAGAACGTGCAAGTTGATGTGTGCGTCTATGCATGTTTGAGCGAGAGTGAATACTCACAAGAAAAGCACAGAGCATGTAAAAACTCATGAAGTAGAGAATAGCGAATCCAGAGCCGCAGGTGTACTCCTCTCCAGGTAGGTATTCTGACTTGGGGTCACAACGTTGACCGTACAAACAGCCCAACATGATCTCCTGCCAGCCCTCGCCTGTGGCACACCTGAGGACAGGTATATGTCTTTACAAACATGCTCAGAAACTCGTACAGCAAAGCGTTCACACTTCCTACCTGAACAGCAGTAGAACAGCTTGAGGAAACGTCTGGAAGTTGTTGTTACGGTTGATCATGGTACCGTCTAATAGTGCGATTTTGCCAAACACCTGAAAGAGAACAGGTAGGTTATCATTTAGCACAACGCTGAATGTATCGCACTCATTGTGGGTGTGTTTTACCTGCATGCCGATGACGGCATAGATAAAGAACAGCATAACGATGAGGAGAGCCACATATGGCAAAGCCTGAAAAACACAAACATTTACCATAAATGCGTTTACACCACAAAATTTCAGATGCATAAATAATTTTATCAGATTAATATTTTGTTTGTTTTTTTGAACATACAAATAAGAAATGTTGGGGAAAATGCAACAATGCTTTTAAATATGAAATCAAACCAGCAGTAGGTGGCGACAAATGACTGTTTTAATGAGCGAGTCATTCATTCAACTGATTCATTCAAACGGCTGATTCATTCACAAATGTCTTTATGAATGGGCCACTGAATCATTGACTCACTCGATTCGTTCAAAAGAGTGGATTCGTTCAGTAACGAAATGCTGCTGTGTTGCTTGGAGACTTGCAACAGTTTCGCTGTGGCTCCGATTGGAATGATTTTCGTCCGCGAAATTGAGCCAAAACAGTCAAAATTGTGTCTAAAATGTAAGTCTCTTAATTTTAACTTCTTATCAAACTACTGTTGTATAAAATCAGTGGCACAATGCAATCGTGCTGATATTCAGGGAAACATCTTGGTCGTGTAATTCTTACCCAAATCATATATTATAAATATCATTTTTTACAGCATAATTTATCTGTAACTTGTAACTGTTCTGGCTTCTGCATGGGTCTCTCATCCTAATGACCCAGTGGAGCATCAGACCTGGAATGAT